TGGTCTTACCAAAAAATGGGAAGGAAATGACACAAATTAATGTAATCAGAAATGACAAAAGTGAAATCACAATGGATACCATGTAAATCCAGAAAATTATTAGCATCTACTTCACAAACATACAGGCCAAGCAACTGGAGAAGAAATGGAAAGAGTCATGCATACATATGAAGTTCCAAAATTGAACAAGGAAGACTTAAAATTTTTGAATAATCCAATAATAAGCAATGAAATTCAAGGAGTAATAAAAAAGAAATTACCAACCCAGAAAAACCCAAGACCTGATGGATTCGCAGTAGAATTCTACAAAAAATTCAAAAGATGTTTTAACAAATTCCTCAAATTTTTTAATTAAATTGAGAGCAAAACAGTACTTCCAAAATCATTCCTAGAATGAACTTCATCCTGATTCCAAAGCCAGATAAGGATCAAAAACAAAAACCTGTAGTACAATTTCCCTAATGAACATAGATGTGAACATGCTTAAAAACATACTGGCAAACAGAATACAAAAAATGCACCATGAATGAGTAGGCTTCATGCCAGTGATAGAAAGATGGTTCAAAACAAGCAAATCTCTAAACATAATGCATCACATAAACAGAAGCAAGGATAAAATTCACATAAGTATCTGAATAGATGCAGAAAGAAATTTTGACATAATCTAACATTCCTTCATATTAAAAAACCTTGAAGACAATAAGTATACAAGGTCTTTTTCTCAACATGATAGAAGATATTTATGATCAAACTATTGCCAATATCATATTAAACAGGGAAAAGCTAAAAGCCTTCCCTATAAAATCAGGAATAAGACAAGTATGGTCATTATTAACATACTCTTTGAAACATTAAGCAAATCAATCAGATAAGAAAAAGTGATATGGGCTGGGGATTTAGCTCAGAGGTTCGGTGGCCTGCCTTGCAAGCGCAAAGACCCAAGTTCAATCCCCGGTACCAAAAAAAAAAAAAAAAAGTGATAAAAGAGATATATACATGAAAGGAAAAAAATCAAAATATTAACAAATGATGTTACTTACAAGACCAAAAGTCTCAACCAAAAGTCTCCTAGAGTTGATAATCAAATTGGGTAGTGTAGCAGGATACAAAATAAATACACAAAACCCAGAAGCATTCCTATACACTAATAATAAACTCACTGAAAAAGCAATTAGAAAAATATATGATTCACAATAGCATCAACAAATTAAATGGTTAGATATTAATCTCAGTAAGTGAAAGACTTCTGCAATAAAAATTATTAATGATTCCATGAAAAAGGAAATTGAGGAGGACATCAGAAATTGGAAATATATCCCCTGTTCCTAAATGGAAAAAATGGATATACTTCCAAAACTGATAGACAAATTTAATGACATCTCAATCAAAATACCAATGTCGTTTGTCACAGAGGTAGAAAAAAAAATCTGCGCCAGGCATGATGGTCCACACCTGTAATCCCAGCACTTGGGAGGCTGAGACAAGAGGATAGTGAGTTTGAGGTCAGCCTGGCTTACATAGTGAGTTCAGAGCCAGCCTGAACTACAAAGGGAGACCCTGACTCAAAAAACAAAAACAAAATCAAACCACAAAATTTATATGGAAAAAGAAGAGACCAAGAATAGTAAAAGGAAATCTGGGTAGCACAAGCAAAGCAAGAGACAACACATTCCTAGACTTAAAGTTATACTATAAAGTGACAGTGATTAAAAAAGCACAGTATTGGCAAAAAAACAGGCATATAGATCAATGGAACAGAACAGAAGAAGTAGAAAAAAAATCCCAAAGTTTACAGCTATTTGGTCTTTGACAAAGGTGACAAAACACACACTGGAGGAAAGATAGCCTTTTTAATAAATATGCTGGGGAAATAGGCTAACCACATGTAAAAAGACTGAATCTACACCCATATCTCAGCATGTGCTAAACTAAAATCAAAATGGATCAAAGATCTAAATGTTAAAACAGAAACACTGAATCTGCTCTCAGATAAAATAGGTATAATTTAAAGATATACACTTAGGAACAGAATTTCTGAACATAACTTGAGTGGAACAAAAAGTAACACATAGAATCAACAAATGGGGTCAGATTAAATTGAAAAGCTTCTGGACAGCAAAGGAAATGACCAACATAGTGTAGAGACAATCTACAGAATGGATAAAAGTATTTTCCAGCTATTCCTCATAGAGGAACATATAAAGAATCCCCTGAAAATTTGACCCCTCAAATAAAAGACCCACTCAAAACTGGAAAACCAAATTGAATAGAAATTTCTCAGAAGTACAAATGGTCAATAAATATATAAAAAAGTGCTCGTTGTCGCTGGTCATCATATAAATATAAATTAAAACTACACTAAGATACCACCTTACCCTACAAAGAATGGTTTTTGTCAAAAAATCTAATAACAGCAAATGCTAACAAAGATGTGGGGGGAGAAGGAACTCTGCTACACAGTTTGTAGGAATGTAAAATAGTACAACAACTATGGAAATCAGTGTGGCGATTCCTCAAAAAAGTAAAAATATAAATTCCATTTGACCCAGATATCCTCCTCCTAGATATCCTCTCAAAAGTATTAAGATTATCCTATTACAATGATACATATATACCCATGTTTATAGTAACACAATTTGTAACAACTAGATCTTGAAAACAGCCTCCCTGTCCACCAGCTGATGAATCAATAAGGAAAAATGTGCTATTTATACATGATAGAGTTCTACACCTCTGTAACAATAGGCTTGAGGCATTCAGAAGTAAATGGATGCATTTGCAAATATAATATTAAATGAAATAAGTCAGATACACAAGTGAAAATAACACCTGGTTTCTCTTATATGAGAAAAAAATACAAATAAACAGCAAAATAGAAGAGTGATAGTGGGAAGTTCAAATACTTCCCCAAAATTACACATTTCATTGTTTTAGAACTAAGTCACATATATGCTAATTCTTTCCATTTGTACTAATATTTTATCTTAGTTCATTGAAAAGAAATTTTGTGTTATTTGTTCATTTCTTTTTTGTAAGAATCTTCTTGCTTTGCATCTTGAAAGGAGTAACTACTTAGAAGATCACAATACTCAGTGTAATAACTTTTCATTCTTTTATTGTATGGTTATGAAAATTTGCTTTATTTTTTATAAAATAAAAAATATAAAAAATTTTAAAAATAAAATCCATATGCAAATGAACCAAAAACAAAATTAACCAAAGAAAAAGAACAAAAAGTCTATTAAAAACTGTTTAACATTTTTAGCCATTAAATAAATGAAAGTCAACAAAATCTTGTCATGCTGTCTCACTACAGTCAAAATGACTATCATGAAGAATTAGAAAAAACAATGGGTGTTTACAAGGTTGTGGGGAAAAGCAACTTTCCTACATCATTGGTGGAAAGTAAATTAATACAACCACTATGAAAATCAAGATCCAATGATTCCAGTTCTTGGTATATTCCTGAAGGAATTAAAGATGGCATACTTTAATGGCACATGCATACCTTTGTCTGAAGTGGTACAATTCATAATATCTATGCTGGGGAAACAGCCTAGATGCCTATCAACAAATAAATGGGTAAAGAAAATGTATACATACACAATGGAGTTTTATGAAGGCATAAAGAACAAAATCACATTATTTTCAGGAAAATGTATAAAACTGGAGATCACAATGTTAACCAAAATAAGCCAGTTTTAGAAAATTCAAAATATTACAAGTTTTCTCTTCTATAATCAATTTTTATTTGTATTTTGTTATTATTTTTTTATACCAGCAATTGAACTCAGGGCTTTGCACTAGCCAGATAGGTATTGTGTCACTGAGCTACATCCCCAGCCATTCTATAAAAAATTTATAAACAAAGAAATACAGAAAGGAAGGAAATAATAAGTGATTCTTTACTTTTGTAGATGGTGGAAAGGATTTGAAGGAGGGAGTAAAGAGCATTATGGAGATGAAATAATCAAAACCAGTTACTTGCATGTATCAATATAATAAATCTCATTAATTCTGTAATATTAATATGAACCAATAAACCTATAACTATAATAAGCAGAAACAAACATCTTGGTGAGGGAAAAGAACTTAATTTCAAGAGTTTCCAGATTAAAATATACAGTATAGCCTGCTTTCAAAAAGTAAAGACATCAAATAAAATAAGAAAGTATTGCTGGTATAAAGGAAAAAGAATTAATCATTACATACTGTGCCTCAGGAAGCTTACATTTTGGGCTTTCTTGACAACACAGCAAAATCAGCTATTTTAGTTATGTTTGATGTTGTAATGGCAATATGACTAATGAATCTTTCAATAAGTATGAGTACAATGACTTACTAAATTGAGGCTATCAATTAAAATAAATTATAAAAGGAACCAATAAAGTTTGCAGATGAAAAGTAAAAACTATAATAAAAACTAGTTAGACGATATCACCAATATATTAAAAACACGAAAATCAAATTCAAGATAGGTCATTTAAAATCCAGGTATGTTCATTCTTTTCTTTCTTTTTTTTTTTTTTTTTTACCGGGGATCAAACTCAGATCCTTGCACTTGAAAGGCAGGTAGCAGCACCACTGAGTTAAATCCATAGCCTCATTCTACATATAATTTTCTCACAAATTTTATGCAGAAGCAATGGTGCATATTATCATATGCTTTTACTACAACTATTGACATGCTCATATACTTTTGGTTTTTTTTTTTTTTTTTTTTTAAAAATTTTTTTTTTTTTTTTTTTTTTTTGGTGCCAGGGATCGAACTTGGGGCCTTGTGCTTGCAAGGCAGGTGGTGGAACTACTGAGCTAAATCCCTGGCCCTACTTTTGGTTCTTCATTCTGTTGGTGCAATAGATATCATTTACTTATTCACATGTGTTGAACCATCCTTTAGAGGAATCACACTTAATCATGTTGAATAATCTTTTTAATATCAATTATTTTGATAGTATTTTGTTTAGAATTTTGTATCTATGTTCATGAAGGATACTGACCTGTAGTTTTCCTTTTTCTTGTAGTGTTCCTGTGTCTCTGATTAGGTATCAGGGTAATATTGGCCTCATATTTTGTGTCTAGAATAACAAGACAAAGATGTTAAGTATCCTGACCAATATAGCACTTGAAACATTAGCCAGAGCAATCAGGCAAGAGAAAGAAATAAAAGAGAGATATATAAGAATAGAAGTCAAATTATCATTATTTATAGATGACATGATCCTCTGCATAGAAGACCCAAAAATTCCACCTAAAGACTCCTAGTATTGATATTCAAATTCAGTAATATAGCAGGATACAAACTCAATACACAAAAATGAAGTGTTCCTCACTGAGAAAATAATTAGGAAACTAACACCACTCATAAGAGCTTCAAGAAAAATTAAATACTTAGGAATTAACCTAACCAAGGAAGTAAATAGAAGACCTGTACAATAAAAATTATAATGTAGAAGGAGACTGAAGAGGACATCAGAAAATGAAAATAAATACCCTATTCCTGAATATGCAGATTAAATATAGTCAGAATGGCCATACCTGCAAATCTCACATATAGAATTAATACAATCCCAATCAAAATACCAACAATATTCTGCACAGAACTAAAGAAAACAATCCAAAAATTAATACAGAATCAGGAGAGACCCAGAATAGCCATAGCAAGCCTGGGTAACAAGAGCATAGAAGTAGGAATCACAATCCCAGAATATAAGTTACAAAAAGGACAAAACTACAGTGACAAAAACATCACTGTACTGTCTCTAAAACATACATATATATCTACAGAATGTAGAAAAATTTCATGCAAATTCAGTTATCTGATCTTTTAAAGGGGGTAAAAAGAGTATGCTGAAGAAAAGATAGCCTCTTTAACAAATAGTTCTGGAACAACTGGCTATTCACATGTACTAAATAAAATAAAAATGGATCAAAGATCTAAATGTTAAAGCAGAAACAAAAAATTCTTGAAGACATAGATATAGGTAAAGACTTTCTAAGGAGAATTCCAATTGTACAAGAAATAGTCTAAGAATCAACAAATGGGATATCAAATTAAAAACTTTAAGTACTGTAAAGCAAACAACCAACAGAGTGAAGAGACAATGTACAAAATGTAAATATTTTCTGTCTGCTAATCCTCAGAGGACTAATACTTAGAATATAAAAAGAACTTAAAAATAGACTACACAAATCAAAAAATGGGCAACTGAAATTAATAGACACTTCTCAGAAAAACTACACAGGGCCAAAATATATACCCCAAAAGTTTCAATATCACTCTTCGTTACAGGGATGCAAACTAAGACAACAGTGAGATTCTACCTTACTCCAGAAAGAATGGCTATCACCAAGAATTCAAATTGCAAATGCTGGCAAGGGTTCCTTCTACATTGTTGGTAGAAATGTAAATTATTACAGCCACTACGGAAACTCATGTGATGATTCCTCAAGATGCTAACTATAAATTCCATTCCACCTAGCTATTGCCCTTCTGAGTATCTCCATGAAAATGTTAAAACTGTCTTGTTGCAGTGATACATGCATACTCATGTTTATAGCAGGACAACTCATAATAGCTATATCTTGGAAGCAGCCTAAGTGTCCATCAATAAATGAATGGATAAAAAAGTGCGGCATTTATACAAAATGAAGCACTACTTGCCATAAAGAAGGATAAACTTGAGTCATTTTTAGGAAAACAGATGCACTTTGAGACCATTATATTAAATTAAATAAACCAGACACATAAGCTCAAATATCCCATGGTTTCTATAATATTAAATCACTACACAGAACCATCAAAAATATGTCTGCATATGGTCTCAGTCACATATGGAATAAAAAAAGTGCTATAATAGAAGTTGAGAATAGAATGGTGGTTACAAGAGATTGTGAATAGTAGGGAAGATGGAGGGATGGGGAATGGTTGATCAATAGGGTCTAAGTTACAATTATAAGGAAGAAGCTCTGTTGTATTATGGTATAGTAAGGCAACTATACATAAAAAATTGTGGTGTTGCAAAGGTCAGAGAGGAGATTTCAAAATTTTTTCTAGAAAAACAATAAATATTTGAAGAGAGTTGTGTTGAACTTGATTTATTATTACATAATATGCACATGTATAAAATACCTTATTTTTTCATTAATATGTACCTTATTTCGCTTATCAGTTTAATAAATTTAATGAAAACAATAAGAAGCAATGATTAGAATAGAAATTAATGGCACAAATACTGGTCTGATGTGAAATCAGCAATTATTATTTGATTGAATAAACATAACGGACAGAAATGTCACTAAACATTTGTGTAAACAAGATGCCTAATATATCCTCCCTTAAAAAGTCCTGCTTTTATGCTTTGTTTTTGACTAAATTTGAGAAGTGGACTCGGGAAGTGTTTCCACTATACTTTAATTGATTCAGTTGTTCACTGTTCTTAGTGCAAACAGTGGAGTTTATACTGAACTTCTGCTTCTCTTCCGGGAGTCTAGAATGCTAGGAATGGGATTCCTAGGTCATGAATTGCTAATAAAAATCTTAATTGCAGAGTGTCTGTTGGGCACCCCAGGGCAGAAATATTACATAAATGTTACATTATTACCACCTGAGTGAATGTACAATCTTTGTGACAGTTTACAATAGGAAAAGGAAACCTATACCTGCATTCCCCCAAATGGTGTAGTTTTCCCTTATGACTCACCTGTACAATCTCACTACATTTCTATAACAAAAATTTAGCCCTGGTGAAACTATATACTAAGTCTTGTGAGTCTTCCTAATAAATCTCTAAGCTTGGGTTGTTCTTGGGAACTCTATAGATAGTTTCTCCAAATAACTCTCCATCATATATCGGAAAAAAAGAAAAAGATACCGTCAGTCTTTTCCTAGTGTATTATGAAAGTTACTTGTATGAGACTATAGTCTTTATTGTAATCTGGAGGCTTCCCTTCTCTGTTCCTGTTCAAGGTAAATTCATATTCTATAAAAATCACTCCCATTAAATCTCTAGTATTTCAAAATTCATCCTGTTTCTGCTTCCAGGAGAATAAGAAATGACAGTGTCATAAATTGTCTGGAAAAACTGACAGTAAGACCTGAGTTTTGCAAAGCTCATTACTCAGTTGGGAAAGAGGATATGTCCATGTTTGGAGAAGCACAAGCCCAAGGCGAGAATCCAACTGCAAAAATTTTACTTAGGGTAATTTGGGAATAATATCCCATCAAATGGGAATACACTAGCCAGTGATATTGCTGAGGCATTTAAACAGTATGGAGAGAGAACTACAAATGAATAAAATAGAATTGTCTAGCAATTCTTCAAAATATAAAAAAAATAGAATGATACCATGATTCACACTACTCTATATATATTCAAAGGAAATGGAATCAGTATGAGATATCTGCATTCTCATGTTCTTTGCATTCTTTATTCACAATAGTCAAAACAAAGTCAAACAAAGTTTCCATCAGTGAATGAGTGGTTAAAGAAAATGTGATGTGAGATACACATACATACACACACATATATGAATAATATTCAGACTTAAAAAACAAGGAAATCTTGTCATTTGCGACAAATAGATAAACACAGAGGTCATTATGCTAAGGTTAGGTATAGAAATATAAATGCTGTATGATCTTACTCATATGTAAAAATATATAGAGATGGAGCCAGGGATTTGGCTCAATGGTTCTGCTGCCTGCTTTGCAAGCACAAGGGCCCGAGTTTGATCCCCAGTACTCAAATAAAATAAAATAAAATAAAAAAATAGAGATAGATGAGTCAAAATCACTATAATATTGCAATACTTGATGAATAGATCTACACATTCAACAAAATCCCCAACAAAATTTCAAATACTTTATTATATACATATGGACAAGTTAATCTTAAAATTCATGAAGTTACAAGGGACTCCAAAAAGTCAAAATCATTTAAAAGAAACACAATTTTATTCAATGGTGGAAATGTTAGTCTTTTTAACTAATGGTATTGACACAATTGGATAGTCAAAAACAAAAGAAAAAATTGTACCTCAGTATCAAACCATATAGAAAACATTAGTGGACTAAACATATAAATATAAAATTAATACTATAAAAACCATAGAAGGAAACATCAAAATCTATGTCAACTTTGATTAGAGACAAGATTTTTAGATAAGATATCAAAATCAGAAACAACAGAAAATGAAATTTTGCTTCATAAAAATATCTTTTGTATACTTAAGGCACCATCAGGAAAGTGAAAGACAACAAAAATTGTATAAAATTGTTTTCCAATAACTACATCTGGAAAGCATTTAATATCAGAATTATAAAGAACTCTTACAAATCCACAGGAATGAAAAACATCTAGTAATAATTAGGCAAAGTATTTAATACTATCATTTAGATACAACTGGAAAAAAAAACACAGAAGAAGAGATATTTTGAACCTTGTGACTTTGGATTACAAAATGGTTTCTTAGATATGACACTAAAAAGTCCATGTAACAAAGGGAACATAAACTTGACTGAATCAAAATTTTTTTAATTTTTTGATTCAAAGGACAGCATCAAAAAATGAAATGAGAAAAATACAACCGTACATATTACAGGTTCTAGTATTCTGAGTATATATTTAAAATTACACTTCAATATGAAGCAGAAAATAACCAAATTAACAAATACATAAAAGATTAGAACAGAAATTTCTTCAATGAAGATGACAAATGTCCAAAAAACATGTGTTGAGAAGTTCAATATCACTAATCCATTAGAAAAATGCATATTGAAACCATAATATGACACTACATAAGCATTAGGAAGTTTATAATGAAAGAGATAGAAAATTACAAGATTATAGAGTACATGGAGACTGGATCCCTCATATGTTGCTGGTAAGAATATAAAATGGTAGAGCTACAGAAACTAAATTAGTGGTTCCACAAAAAGATAAATAGATAAGTACCATATGAACCATCAGTTCAATCCCTAGTTATACAACAAGATAAAGATTCATATTTAAACAAGCACTCTCATAGCAGCAATCGCCAAAAGATGAAAACAACCCAAATGTTTATCAGTGGATGA